TGGGGGGGTGTGCGGCTGTTAAAGACAGGCAAAAAGGAAGTTTTATTTGTAGCGGAACCCTTCAGAGAGAGGTTCCCTGAGTGTTACCCAGGAGGCTGGTTTGGTTTTAGGTGTCCCGGCACCCCGGGATTTATTTTTATTGTTTGAGGCGTTGCTGAGGGGAGTGAGACTTCATGTAGTGTTAGTTAGTGGCAGATTCTTCTGCTGGGCTGCCCTTTAGAAAATGTAAAAGTCTTGCTTCAGGGTTTGGGTAGCAGGTGTGTGTTTTCATGACAGGGAAACTAGAGTTTCTAATAATTTACGGAGTAAAAAACCCCAAGGTTCCCATTCTGGAACAATGCCAGCACCAGATGCATCTAATAACTGTAAAGTTGAGGCACCTGTGGTGGCAAATGCAGGTCGGAGCAGCAAACTCAAGGCACCTGTGGTGCCAAATGCACATAAGAGCCGCAGACTCAAGGCACCTGTGTTCCCAGATCAACCTAAGAACAGCAGGATCAAGGTGCTGGCAGCCCATAAAGCATTGAATCCTCAAGATTTTGTGTGCATTCAGGCTTTGCCTGGCATTGCTCAGAAGGAAGGAAAGGTCTTGGCCAGGAGCAGAACCATTTACAGAAGCAGTGAACCTCCAAGAGAACAAGTGTACTGGGAAAACTACCGTAGGAGGCAAAAACAATTCACTCAGGGACTCTTCACTCCTTTTGGGAAACCTTATCGGGAGCTTGGAGAGATTCTCTACACAGACCCGAAGAAACTCACCCTCTACTCTTTGGGGCAGCTTCCACAGGTAGGCCCAACTTTCCTGGTCTGTTTTATATGGAAAGCAGCGAGGCTTTTCTTGGAGGTAAATTGCAAGCCCCTGTTTCTGGGGAAAGGAATGATTACTTCTGTTTAAAGAAAAGTAAAGTTTGAAACAATGTTCCCTACCTTCCTGTGAATAATCACAATCTGATCTAATATTTAATGATGATAACAGAGCATTTGTAAATAAAGCAGGACCGCTTTGATGTGTACGTAGTGATTTAGAAACTGGCTTTTGAAACTGATGTTAAAGTTCTTAATGAGAGCACTTAAAATGGAGCAGAGACAGTAGCAGGCTAATGAATGAAAAGGAAAATGTGAGATAATGAGAATGTACTTAAGAGAAAATACTCAAGGGAAGGTAATGAGTCCTGAAAATGGAAGGAGAGGAATCCTACTGAGGGCACGAGGGTAAAGGAGGGGCTGAAAAGCAGGAAAATGGCAGTTGAGGGGTGGGTAAAAAGCTCAAAAGTTGAGCATAAGAATGATATAAAAAGTTAAATGTTTGAAAGACCTCACACAGGTAGGGATGGCTTCGGATTTAGTGGATGAATTATTTTACATTCTACTCTGCATCTTTATTTGGGTTTCAGAAGGGTGTAAGGGGATTAGCCAGGAGTGTCTGTGGTATTTTGTGTGGTTATTATCTCCTGGCCTCCTTAGTGCTGCAAACCCATCAGCTTTGTGGGTCTTGTACTGTCTCAAATTGCTTTTAAGTCAAGCTTGAATCATTAAACCACAGGACAAGAACTCGGTCACTGATGCTTGAGATGAGCTTGCAGTGTTCTGCCATTTGTTTTATTTTCCTCAATGCTGTTGGTTCATGGCAGGAGATCTGAAGCTCTCTTGAGTTTTCAGTGCTGTGTTGTGCAGAGAGCAATTTTCCTTGTGGAGACAGTGAAGTTTCTCCAGCCCATCTGTAAGATCAGCCTCTGTGACTTCGAGCCCACACTTTGCTGTGTGCTTCCTAACGGAGTGCCCCAGGGATAGTGTCTGACAGCTGCGGCAGAAGCAGCGTGGTTATTGTTTGGGGTAGGCAGAAAAGATTCTGTCCACCTACTACTTAATTTTCTGCTGATTGTGTGTGTTGCATTCAGAGCTTGAAGTTGTAGATCAAGTGTTTTAAGCTCTAAATAGACAATGAGTGGCATTCACTTTATTTTTACATGCTACCTAAAGCAGCATCTTGCTGGCTGTCTCCATTCAGAGGCATGTTTCTGTAAATTAGTCAATATCCAGCAAGTGTTGCCAATGTTCGTTTTAACCCTTAACTTCTAAAGCATCTTGCCTTCTGAATATTAGAAATTGCTTTAAAGTTTTTCTTCAACTGCAGATGTACTCTTTAAAATTATGATAGTCCTGAAAATGTTGGTTAATTTGTGGTGGTTGCTGTTTTGGTATTGAAAAATTATGTCAGGATTTGATCCTTAAGAGTGCTCTGAAACTCAGCTGGAAACTCAGCTATTTAACTTAACCAAATTAAAAGTATACAACTTATACAGAAAATAAACTGTATGTAGGTCACTAAATGTGTGGCTGTGGCTTATGCTTTAGATTCATGAAGCTGTCAGAGGGGTAGTAGTTACCCCTGTCCTTCCTTTTTGTAGAGAACATGGCTAAAAGCACTAGATAGTCTTAAAAATCTCAGACTGACCATTTTTTTTCCTTTTCCTAAAAGGTAGTACAAAAAATTCCTGGCAACAAATCTGGCCAGCTCTCTTCTTCCCTCCATCCCCACAAACTGGGGAAGACCCAGGGATTTCATGCTGCTCACACACCAATTCTCACTAATTTAAGCTGCCAAAGTGCTCTGCAGAAATCTATTTATGCATTTTTTTCCAGAGATGTTAGAACAGAAATGTATTTCTAAAAATACTTTTTATTACCTGTATATTTGTTTTATATGGGTTATTTACTCTATTCCCCAGCACACCTGGCAGACCCTGTAGTATTTCAAATAACTGAGAAGATTACAGATACTGGATATGTCTAATTATAGGTGTCTGAGAGCGTAACATT